CAGAGAGAAAGGTCTTCCTCCCATTGGTTCACCCCCCAAATGGCTGCTACAGCCGGCGCATTGCACCAATCTGAAGCCAGGAGCCAGGTGCTTCCTCCTGGTCTCCCATGTGGGTGCAGGGCCCAAGTGCTTGCGCCATCCTCCACTGCCCTCCCGGGCCACAGCAGAGAGCTGGACTGGAAGAGGAGCAACTAGGACAGAACCGGCATCCCAGCCGGGACTAAAACCTGGAGTACCGGTACTGCAGGTGGAGGATTAGCCTAGTGAGCCACGGCGCCGGCCTCCAGATGTTACTTTGGTCTTTATTCTCCATATTTTGACCTTTTAATTTTTGTTGAAGGTAGGAATTCCTGATTTAAATTACATACCCTATGTCTGCAGTGCCAGCATCCCATATAGGCACCAGTTCAAGTCCCGGCTGCTCCACTTCCCATCCATCTCCCTGCTAATGACCTGGGTAAAGCAGCAGCAGATGGCCCAAGTCCTTGGGCCCTGCACTCGCATGGGGGACCTGGAGGAAGCTCCTGGCTCCTGGCTTCAGCCTGGCCCACCCCCAGCTTTTTTTGACCATTTGGGGAATGAACCAGCAGATAGAAGATCTGTCTCTGTCTCTCTCTCTCTCTCTCTGCCTTTCAAATAAATAAATAAATCTTCTAAAAAATTAGAAAGATTACATATCCTACAGGTTGTTGATGACTTTGTCATATTATCACTGTAATAAGAGTGATAGTTGGTGCTCGCTGCGGCAGCACATATACTAAAATTGGAACGATACAGAGAAGATTAGCATGGCCCCTGCGCAAGGATGACACGCAAATTCGTGAAGCGTTCCCTATATAAAAAAAAAAAAAGAGTGATAGTCGTTGGTAATCTGACTTGTGATATTAAGCCAAATCCATAAAAGCATATTTGTACATGTAACTAAAAGGAGGCATGCAGAAGGGATAGAGATTAATTTATTGCTAGGAGTTATCAGAGTAAATGGAATCGAGGGAGTTAGAAATGGAATTTAGATAGCAGACAACTGTCAGTGAAGACAGACTTTACATGTTAGGTAGTTTGCTTGGGAAAAGGATCTTGAACATTGAACCCTTTCAAAGGGTAGGCCTTTGGTACAGTGATTAGAACGCTGTACAGGACACTCAACATCCAATATCAGAGTGCCTGGTTCTTGTCTCAGCTCTTAATGGAAGCCCTGGGAAACAGATAGATGATGGCTCAAATACTTGGCCCAGTTGTTGGAGGCATTTGGGAAGTGAACCCTCAGTCTCAATCTTTCAAATAAAACTAAGTATAAAATTTATAAAACACAGGGATGTACTGCTTACGTTAGTTATTGTTTTAGTAAAGAACACACAAATAATATTTAGGTGCTTCTTGATATAGAATTTGCTGCCAGACAAGTAGAAAGTAATCTGAGTTTGGGATTAAGGTGCTATAACAGTTAGATGCTGTGGGGGACAAAATGAGCCAAGTTAAAGAATGGATACATAGGCCTGCGCCGTGGCTCACTAGGCTAATCCTCCACCTGCGGCGCCGGCACCCCAGTTTCTAGTCCCAGTTGGGGCGCCAGATTCTGTCCCGGTTGCTCCTCTTCCAGTCCAACTCTCTGCTGTGGCCCAGGAGTGCAGTGGAGAATGGTCCAGGTCCTTGGGCCCTGCACCCACATAGGAGACCAGAAGGAAGCACCTGGCTCCTGGCTTCAGGCCGGCCGCAACACGCCAGCTATAGTGGCCACTTGCGGGGGTGAACCAACAGAAAAAGGAAGACCTTTGTCTCTCTCTCTCTCTCTCTCGCTGTCAAAATATATATATCAATTAAAAAAAAAAAAGAATGGATACATAAAAATCTATTAGTTTTTCTGGAATTAATCCTCTTTAAAGTAAAAAATTTAGGTAATTTGAAAACATAAATGCCAGTCGTTTTGAGGATTATCATTTATTTTTCAAACTTGGAATAAGAGTGGCATTGTTAAAATTTTTGTTTACAAAAAAAAAAAATGTTTTTCCTGTCCTAGATGTTCTTTTTATCTTGCTTTATGGACAGGAATGTACTAGTGAATTGCAAAAAATAGATTCTGGAATTTACAGCTATGAAAAAAATTTAGCAAATTAAAGGCATTCAAAGCTTCAAAACTAAATATTTCTGAAGAGATGTATTAGAATACAGATCTTTTCCTAATCTTGGATTGAAAACAAGTAAACATTTCTTGCTCATTTCATACCTTAAACATAGGCTGATGAATTTGCAGTATTATTTTTGCTCTAAGAGCCCATTTGTATCTTGTCTTTTAATTATATAGACTTTTACTGATTAGCTGATAATGTAGGATCTGAGTATTAAGGAGGCCACTGTATTTGCCAGCAAAAAAAAGGTATTTTGTACACCCATGTTATAGGTGGAAAGGTAAGTACCAAAGACAAGAGGCTGGGTATTGCTGACAATCCTGTGTGAGTTCAAGTGTTACGTAAAACCTGTTGAGTATGTTAAAGGCATGTTATTAGTACAATTAGTACTATAAAGTACAAAAACTGGGTTACCAAGTTGTCAAATAATGGATTAATGAAAAAATATAATGTTCATCTCTCAAAATACCTCCTCAGGAGCCTGTATAATCCACCTAAGGGTCCTTGCTGACTTCTTATGTAATCATTGTGTTTCATCTTTAAAAAATGTGTGTATGCAAGCTATATGAAAATTCTCCTGAAGGGGTCGGTGCTGTGGCATAGCAGGTAAAGCCCCAGCCTGGCATCCCGTATGGGTGCCAGTTCTAGTCCTTGCTGCTCCACTTCCAATCTAGCTCCCTGCTGATGACCTGGGGAAGTGGCAAAGGAGTGGCCCACGTGGGAGAACTGGACAAAGCTCCTGGCTACCAGCCAGCCCAGCTCTGGCCATTGCAGCCATTTGGGGAGTGAACCAGTGGATGGAAGATCTCACTCTGTGTGTATGTGTGTGTGTGTGTGTCTCTAACTTTGCCTTTCAAATAAATCTTGTTTTAAAAAATTCTCCTAAAAATAAGAACAGATTAACAATAAATTTAGCCAACAAAGCTACCAATAATTCAGTAAGTGCCAAAAAGATAATGGTAGAATAGTGGTACAAAATATCACAGCTAAGATATCAGTAGATAGCTTTCCCCTCTACATTTTTACTTTTTTTTTTTTTTTTGACAGGCAGAATGGACAGTGAGAGAGACAGAGAAAGGTCTTTCTTTGCTGTTGGTTCACCCTCCAGTGGCCGCCGCGGCTGGCGCACCACGCTGATCCGATGGCAGGAGCCAGGTGCTTCTCCTGGTCTCCCGTGGGGTGCAGGGCCCAAGTACTTGGGCCATCCTCCACTGCACTCCCCTGGCCACAGCAGAGGGCTGGCCTGGAAGAGGGGCAACCAGGGCAGAATCCGGCGCCCCGACCGGGACTAGAACCCGGTGTGCCAGGGCCGCAAGGCGGAGGATTAGCCTAGTGAGCCGCAGCGCCGGCCCATTTTTACTTTTTAATTTTCTAAAGATTTATTTATTTGAAAGAGTTACAGACAGAGGGAGAGATCTATCCACTGGTTCATTCCCTAGATGTCCACAATGGCCCTGGGCTAGGCCAGGCCAAAGCCAGGAGCCAGGAGCTTCATTCAGGTCTCCCATGTGGGTGGCAGAGGTCCAAGCACTTGAACCATGTTCCACTGCTTTCCCAGACCATTAGCAGGGAGCTGGATCAGAAGTGGAACAGTTGGGATTAGAACTGGCGCCCAAATGGGATGCCTGCAGGTGGCGTTTTTTACCTACATCACAACACTGGCCCCTATTAAAAAATTTTTTTTCTTTTAAGATTTATTTATTTGAAAGAGTTAGAAGGACAGACAAGGGCTCTTCTGTTCGCTGGTTCACTCCCCAGATTGCCACAAAAAAGCCAGGAGCTAGGGGCTTCTTCCAGGTCTCCCTCTTGGGGGGCCAGATCCCAGATACTTGGGTCATCTTCCACTGCTTTCCCCAGGCTACTGATGGGAAATGGAGCACGGGGGACATGAACTGGTGCCCATATAAGATGCCAGCATCACAGGCAGTGGCTTTACTCATTAGGCCACATGGCAGACGCCTCTAAATTTTCATTAAGAAAAGTTCATGTATGTAATAAAGGTGCAAGAATAATACAAAGAGCGCACACTATGAACCCACCACTAAGAATCCGTGATTTTGGTGTATACCAAATATTTTAAAAAGTTGACATATTGGTATCTATAAGAAAATGCTGAAATATTGGTATATTTGCCCTCATTACATTTCTACTAAACATTTAATATATTTGCCTAAAAATAAATATAGCCTCCTACATAATTATAATACTATTGTCCTAAGAAAATTAAAAACAATTCCAAAACATTGTCTATTATCTAGTCTATATTCATATATTCCAGTTATCCCTAAAATGTCTTTTTTACTTTGTTTTATTTTATTTTATTTTTTTTGACAGGCAGAGTGGACAGTGAGAGAGAGAGACAGAGAGAAAGGTCTTCCTTTGCCGTTGGTTCACTCTCCAATGGCTGCCGCGGCCGATCCGAAGCCAGGAGCCCAGGAGCCAGGTGCTTCTCCTGGTCTCCCATGGGGGTGCAGGGCCCAAGCACTTGGGCCATCCTCCACTGCACTCCCGGGCCACAGCAGAGAGCTGGCCTGGAAGAGGGGCAACCGGCACAGAAGCCGGCACCCCGACCGGGACTAGAACCCAGTGTGCCGGCGCCACAGGCGGAGGATTAGCCTATTGAGCTGCAGCGCCGGCCAAAATGTCTTTTTTATGAACCAGGATCCAGTAAAAGTTCACATACTGCATTTGGTTATGTCTAGAGTGTCCTTTAATGTAGTATGATATTTGTGTGTGTGTGTGTGTGTGTGTGTGAGAGAGAGAGAGAGAGAGATGGGGGAGGAGAGTGAGAGAGTGACTTTTTTTTTTTTTTTTTTTTTTTTTTTTTTTTACAGATAATAAGATTTATTTATTTATTTGAAAGGCAGAGTTACAGAGAAGCAGAGAGAGAGAAAGGTCTTCTATCTGCTGGTTCATTCCCCAAATGGTCACAATGGCCAGAGCTGGGCTGATCTGAAGCCAGGACCCAGGAGTTTTTTCTGGGTTTCCTGTGCAGGTGCAGGGGCCCAAGAACTTGGGCCATCTTCTGCCTTCCGAGGCCATAGGAGGAAGCTGGACTGGAAGTGGAACAGCCAGGACTTGAACCAGCACCAATATGGGATGCCGACCCTGCAGGCAGCAACTTGACCCACTACTCTGCAGTGCCCACCACAAGAGAATGATACTTTTAAACAGACTGTGTTAGTTGTTTTATATAATGTTTCATATTCTGCATTTGTCTAATTATTTTCTTATAAAATGTTCAACTTTCAGGATTTGTCTGTTTCCTTGTGGTAGTACTTAATTTGTCTATTGCTGTGTTTTCTTTAAACTCAAAAATAAAAATACTGATGTGATTTGGGTTAAACCTTGTAAGTAATATTTTATAAGTAGTTTTTTGTTTGTTTATTTTGGCACAAAAGAGTAAGCTGGAGACCAAATAGCTAATGACTAATATTTAGATTATTAGCCAATAATTTGGATTATTTGCTAGCATTTTTCTATTTAAACTTCCCTGGCATTATCTCTGACTTTTGAAATTTAGAATTACTATTGTAGGTTTAAGTTCAAGCTTAACAATAAAACTTTGAGAAGGAACATAGAAATAATGTTTGCATTGTGTCATTTGGGTTTACTCTCCTCTGTGAAAATGGTTTGGAAGTTGAGGCAGAAAGAATTGATATATTTAGCAAAAGCAGCTCACAGAGAATTGGATAGGGGGCTACAACTAGAAATTTTTAGGAATAAGGATTAGGGAACAGCATTGTGGCACAGAAGAGGGTTAAGCCACACCTGCAATGCTGGCATCCTATTATGAGCGCCAGTTTAAGTTCTGTCTGTTCCACTTCCCATCCAGCACCCTGCTAATGCACCTGGAAAAGTAGAAGATGGCCCAAGTGGTTGAGCCTCTGCCACCCACGTGGGAAACCTGGATGGAGTTGCAGGTTCCTTCCTGTCTTTGGCCTGACCCAGCTCTGGCTATCGTAGCCATGTGGGGTGTGAACCAGCAGATAGATGATCTGTTTCTCTCCAAGGCTCTTTCAAATAAATAAATTTTTTTAAAAAGAAATAAAGATTAGAAAGACTTGGAAATTATTTTCACAAAAATCATTCAATAGTTACTACTTATAGTATCAGGACCATAATTTTAGGGGGTTAACATCATGACACTCCAGTTTTAGAAGAAACTGTGTACTTGGGCAAGAACAGGAGTGACACAAAAGTTGTCAGATGGGTTTGAAGGTAAAATCAAGTTTCACAGGTCGGTGATAGAGTAAAACAAACTGGGTGTATTTGGGTTTTATAAACCTTTTTTTTTACTTTTTTAACCATTTGAGTAATTTATAGGAACCATGTTCTCTCCAGGAGAGGATATTTTTGGAAGAAATAACTATGCACAGATTGTAGGGTAATTTTTTTTAAAGTTCTCATTCAGAACATGTGTCGCTCCCCCTCTTCGTGGAGGAACGACACAGGACCCTGCGCTGTTCTTTCGTCTGCTCGGCCCTCCCCGGGTTTGCTGCTGGTTCTTCCCGGGTTGGCTACTATCCCTTCCACCTCCGTGGAAGGGCAGTTCCCCCTGGCCACATTCCCCACTTCCGCAGGGGAGCGGCACACCGCCGGCCGGCTCGTCTCGGGGGCTGCACAGGTGTTCCTTCAGCTAGATGTTCCCCTTAGATGTTCCCGGTGCATGCCGTCTCTCTCCTCCTTTATAGTCCTCCTCCGCCAATCCTAACTCGGCTGCCCACACGCCGAGTACGCTGCTCTCCAATCAGGAGCAAGTCCTACAGTTTATTGGTTGAACTGGAGGCAGCTGTGCGGAAGCTGTTTACTTCTCTCCCAGCACCATATTGTGGGAGAGCAGATGCATAGAATAAGTCCTAATTCCAGTAACTCAGTCCAGTCCGGTTGCTCCCCACAAACATGTATTCAGCCTGATTAGTTTTTTTGTTTGTTTGTTTTGTTTGTTTTTTTTGTTGTTGTTTTTTTGACAGAGAGAGAGAGAAAAAGGTCTTCTTTTTCCGTTGGTTCACCCCCCAAATGGCTGCTACGGCCGGCGCATTGTGGCCGGCGCTGCGCCAATCTGAAGCCAGGAGCCAGGTGCTTCCTCCTGGTTTTCCATGGGGTGCAGGGTCCAAGGACCTGGGCCATCCTCAACTGCCGTCCCAGGCCACAGCAGAGAGCTGGACTGGAAGAGGAGCAACCAGGACAGAATCCGGTGCCCCAACCTGGACTAGAACCCCAGGGTGCCGGGGACTAGAACCCCAGGGTGCCGGCGCCGCAGGTGGAGGATTAGCCTAGTGAGCTGTGGCACCAGCCCTCAGCTTGATTCGTTTTTATTAATTTTGGCACTATGATGTTTTGAGCCGGATATCATCCAGGGTGTCTTGTGCATGAATGGAATGTTTAGTAGCACTCCTGGTCACTACCCACAGTATGAATTGTCAGTAGCACCTCCCTCCCACTCCATCCCAGTGGGGACTATCTAAAGTGCCTCGGGACATTGCCAAATGTCTTGAGTTGGGGGGCAAAACTGGTCCTGTTTCACGCTCCAGAGTTAGATAACATCCACCAGGAAGTATGAAGGTTGTTTAACGACATCATTCATAAACTAGAGCTCTCTTTACATAAGCTGTGGGCAGTTGTTGAATCCCGTCTGCGGGTGGATTGCACAGTCTGATAGATGTTGGAGCTCTAGTGGAAATGCTATTGAAGGTAGAAATGAGCTCTTCATTTGAAAGTCAGGGTGTTTGTAGTCTTTCTGCTGAATCGAAATCTCTGTTTCCACCTCCTCATCACCCCCCAAGCATTGTTCTGGAAACAATTCTTATTAACTCTGTACTGTAGATAAGTTTTTGTTGAAAGTAATTAAGAATTTTGTTTGGTATCTTTGAGGTGGTCTATATCGTGGTATTCAAGAAAAGACAGTCTTAAAAATTACTTAGTAAAAGGCTCGATTAAATTAAATGTGTTCTTGGTTAACCTTTGATTGTTTCAGTGTATTGTCTTTGAAATTTCTTAACTATATATAATTTTTGCCAGTAAGGAAAGTCAGATTGGGAAAGGGAATCGGGATAGAATAAGAGTGGAAGTAATGAGACTTAATGCAAATTTTGAGACTGAAATCATTGAAATATTCAAGAAAATTTTCTTTTTAAGTTTCCAAGGCAAGTATTATTTGTGGATATAGGATTTTCCTGCCTGTGGACATAGGGGCAAAATTGAAGACAGCTAGCTAATAGTCAGGGATTGGTATGGAGAATTTAAGAAGAGCAGAAAGGGCTCACATAGTAGACTGTTGTGTGGAGTATTGTTCCCCACCAACATTGTTCCTTAGAGAAATAGCAGGAAGTATATGAGATGAACCTAGAACATCTTGTCAATGAGATCAAGAATTTTATCGGACACTGCTAGGGTTGTGTCAGGACTCAGGAGCCAACTGAAGAAGTTCCCACTGTCCAAAATAGGACAGAGTATTCACTAAAGATAACTGCCTGGATCAAATCTAAACCTTTGATAATGATAATTTAAGAACAAGCTTATTCGTCACTTAGGAGAAATTCTGCTGAAGCAGGTCATTATTTTGAAAACTGGTAAATAAAGGGAAAGAATCAAGACTTTTCCCAAATGAACTGCAGCACAGGGGAACCAAATAGGTAGTAAGGATTTAACTTGAGAGAGACAAATGAGCTTCCATTCACTGGTTCACTCCTCTAATGCCTGCCTCTGCACGCTAACTACTGCTGCCTGGGGCTGGGCCAGGATGAGGCCAGGCAGTGGGACCTCAATTCCATCCCCCGCATTGGGAGGCTGGAGTCCCAGCTGCTTGAGCATCACTGCTACCTCCCAACTGTGCAGTAGCAGGAAGCTGGAGTCCAGAGGTGGGAATCAAACCCAGGCACTGCAGAATAGGATGTGGGTATCTTAACTGCTAGGCAAATGTCTGCTCCCTGTTTTTTAAGAGAAGTGTTCAGCTAATGCACAATGAAGGAGTGATCTAGAATGACTGTATGTAGGCCTCCTGATAGAAGAAAACACTGCAGGCCGGCGCCGCGGCTCACTAGGCTAATCCTCCGCCTTGCGGCACCGGCACACCAGGTTCTAGTCCCGGTCGGGGCGCCGGATTCTTTCCCGGTTGCCCCTCTTCCAGGCCAGCCCTCTGCTGTGGCCAGGGGAGTGCAGTGGAGGATGGCCCAAGTGCTTGGGCCCTGCACCCCATGGGAGACCAGGATAAGTACCTGGCTCCTGCCATCGGATCAGCGCGGTGCGCCAGTCACAGCGTGCCGGCCGCGGCGGCCATTGGAGGGTGAACCAACAGCAAAGGAAGACCTTTCTCTCTGTCTCTCTCACTGTCCACTCTGCCTGTCAAAAAATAAAAAAAAAGAAGAAGAAGAAGAAGAAGTAAACACTGCCCCCAATAGTAGTCTGGGGAGAGAAAAAAGCTAAACTTGCATCTAATCAGGCCTCTAGATGCAGCTATCAATTGGCGGGGTCTCTAGAGGACGGAGGTGCCTAATCATAATGCCACCTGTATGTAGTCAGCAGTAATCCCAGGTGTAGGCAGCTACAGGAGGTGGCTTGGTTCCTTCACACACATTACAGGGAGGAAAATAGCCAAAAGTTATGGACGTTATTTGGATCCTAACTCAGACAGACTTTTAAAAGTATGATATTGAGAGGATTTGAAATTTGAATGTTAACTAGATATTTGATTTTAAGGGAATATCAGTGTTTTAGGCACTGATTTTTTTTTATTATACTCTTTTTAAGTATTTATATTCTAGAGCTGAATTCAAAATTATTTACAAATATGATGTTAGGGGTTTGTTTTAAAATAATAGGAAGATGGGTATTATTTGAAAGTCAGAGTTACACACACACACAAAAATAATAGGGAGATGGGTGTAGAAATAAAACAAAATCAGTTTTGAGTTGATAATTTCTGACCTGACAGATACATTTGTCAATATTTTTATATTTAATTAAAATCTATATCTCAATACAAATGGCAGGAAAGGAACCACTACCATCTTGATTTAGAAACTCATAGTTGTAGTATGATGAAAATTTTCCCCTTCACTGAGTTACAGTATGAGCCTCAGATTTACAGTCCATCAGGGTTTTTCTCCTGATGCAGCACTGTGGCTGACCTCGAATTCCTGAAACTCATATTTTTATCTGATGCATTTTTTTCAGAAGAAATAAAAATGCTCCTAAATTGAGTAAGGATTGATTATCAAACAAATATTTTATATATATATGCTATGGGATTTATTTATTTTTTGGTATGGTGGAATCCATGGCTGTGAATATATCTATCCTTTATAGCAGAATCATAGGAAAGAGGTGGGAAAATTTGTGTTTGTTTTTTTTTTTTCTTGTGAGAAGTTAATTTAAAGGTTTGTCATAGTAAGAGGTTAAATGTGAATGGAATAGTAGTTTGGGAAGAGCTGCACATTTTAATACTACATAATTAATAATCACTTATTTTATTTGATAAAAAATACTTGAAAGGTGATTATATGCCATGGGTCACATCAAAGACTATAGAGAATGATGTTTCTTGGAAGAAATAGTAAATGCTACATTTCATCACACTGATGAAGACTCTTTCTGATAACTGGACAATTACAAGAGGTATGCCACATTTGCATTTTTTGTTTAAAGTGTGTCAAGTATATAATTCAGGTTGATGTTTCTATTGTGGCATGACCATCTTTTTGACCCTGAACTGTAGATGAAAGGAATTGATCACAATCTGAGCTAACAGTCTTGGTCTTGAGAACTGTTTGAAAACCTTAGTTTCAACATCTTTGAGAAATGTTTTGTGTGTAAGTCTGTAAACTGTGCTTGGTCAGCAGACTTGACTATTTTCTGGGTTAACTCTTTATAAAAAATATGAAATATTTCCCAATAAAATGGAATTTTCTTTCTCTTTTGAGTTTTAATTTACATTGGTGTCTCTGCAGTACTTAACACCTGAGGAGAGGAATTAATTTTCTCACTTGATTAAAAAGTAGTTAGGACATAAACATCTTTTCAGATTTCCCTTTCATCTCTTACCATTTCTTAGAGTTCCTTTTTTTGTGAGAAGAACATAATTTCACTTTAATGGCTAGATGAAGGAAATGTTCAGGGTCTTTATTAAAATTCATTGTTTCACAAGATAAAACATAGGAAACTTAGTATTTTAGATAGTATAAATATTTGAATTAATACTAACCGTTTGGATATGCTAATAAAATATCCAGGGCCAGTGCTGTGGTGTAGAGGGTAAAGCTGTGGCCTGTGATGCGGGCCTCCCACATGGGTGCCCGTTCGAGTCCCAGCTGGTTCATTTCAGATCCCACTCCCTGCTAATGCACCTGGGAAAGCAGCGGGAGATGGCCTAAGTGCTTGGGCCTCTGCACCCACAGAGGACATCCAGGGGATGTCTCCTGTCTCCTGGCTTCAGACCGGCTCAACTAAAGCCATTGTGCCCATTTGGAGAGTGAACCAGCAGATGGAAGATCTCTGTCTCTCTCCCTCTCTCTAACTCTGCCTTTCAATTAAATAAATAAACAAATCTTTAAAAAAAATAATCCATACTGTGACATCATAAGCCACAGTTTACATTCTGATGGCTGTGTTTATTCCAAAGGAAGGTTGTCAGCATTATGTAAGGAGAGCTTGTAGCTGATCAGAGCTTGAAGGGAGTCCTGAACTGCCTGCGGAGGTACCATCACAATTGTTACTCCTCATTCTGTTGCATGTTTGATGTTTATACATTATCTATTGACTCTGAGCTCTAAAAAGTTATGGGATAAAATTAGGGAAAGTTGTTTAGAATGTAATATTTCCCATGATACTACATTGGAAATTACAGTCTTAAGCTCGAAGAATGCCTATAATATTGAATTGATTGCTTTTTAACTCAATTTCTGTTAACGTTGTCTTGCATATTTTAAAATGAGAGAATTTAAGGTGATACCTTAAATGCCCTCCCCTCTTTGTAGTTTTAGTTGGGAGAGACAAAATAATTAAAGTAGAAAATTGGAGACCAGTTACAATCAACTTAAGCACTTTACCAATTAAAACTGGTTTCCCTGGGCTGGGGTTGTATAGCACAGCAGGTTAAGCCACTGTCTGCAGTGCTAGCATCTCGTATCCAAGTGCTCGTTTAACTTCTGGCTTCTGTGCTTCTGATTCAGCTTCCTGCTGATGCACTTAGAAGACAGGGAATAATGATCCAAATGCCTAGGCTTCTGCCACCCATATAAGAGATGGAGTTCCTGGCTCCTGGCTTCAGCCAGACCCAGCCCTGGCCATTGCAGCCATTTGAATCAGCAGCTGGGAAGTCTGTCTCTGTTGCTCTGCCTTTAAAGTAAATAAATACATGAATCTTTTTTTTTTTTTAAATATTTATTTACTTATTTGAAAGTTACACAGAGAGAGAAAGAGAGGCAGAGAGAGAGGTCTTCCATCCAATGGTTCACTCCCCAGATGGTGACAACGACTAGAGTTGGCACCGATCCGAAATCAGGAGCTTCTTCCAGGTCTCCCAGGCGAGTGTAGGGGCCCAAGGACTTGGGCCATCTGCTACTGCTTTCCCAGGCCACAGCAGAGAGCTGGATCAGAAGCGGAGCAGCCAGGTCTCGAACCCGTGTCCGTATGGGATGCTGGCGCCTTCAGCCAGGGCATTAACCCACTGTGCCAGAGCACCGGCCCCAATAAATGAATCTTAAAAAAAAAAAAAAAAAAAAACTGCTCCTGGTTATTGATAACTTACTAGGACAATGCGGGACATTTTGTTTTCAAGGGGAATAACGCCATCTGTTGGGCACCTCCCAAACTGCTGCTGTCAGGTTGTGACAACTTAGCTACTTGATAAACAGAAAGGGTATGTTGGTTTTGGTTTTCTTGACTTATGGATAGGGTACAAAAAAAAAAAAAATCAAGGGCGCTGGAAGCCTTTGCATTAAAGATTTTATTTGAACATTGAATAGTAATGCTGTTCCCATTCCTTGACACAAGCTGAACCACCATCAGCTAACGTTGGAGGGCAGAATAGCAACAGTTTTTATTTGCAATGCAAAGATGTATGCTTTACTTTACAAAGAGGTATTTTTTCAAATTAATGTAGGCTCCAAAATCATGGTGAAGTAACTTCCAGCATTTTCTAGGCTCGAAGTACAATGTAGTAGGACTGGGACTACAGTGCGACAAGTAAGATTTTCAGGTCCAGAATTTAAAGGAGCACAGAGAGGCTCGGTAGTCACAAATAGAGTATTTTGTTGTGTCATTTTAAAAAGATCGGTTTTAATATAAAATAATTCAGAATGAACAAAATACTAATTTTAAATAAAGACTGGATCCAACCTACACTTGTATGATACCTCCTTGCCTCATTCTGTAGGTATTGTAACCTGCCATAGATATTGTACAATAAACTCTCAGGGGCTGGCACTGTGGCATAGTAGACGAATCCTCCTTCTGCAGCTCTGGCATTCCATATGGGCGGCCGTTTCAGTTTCAGCTGCTCCACTTGCAATCCAGCTCTCTGCTATGGCCTGGGAGAGCAGTGGAAAATGGCCTAAATGGTTGGGCCCCCTGTACTCATGTGGGAGACCTGGAAGAAGCTTCTGGCTCCTGGCTTCAGACTAACCCAGCTCTGGCCATTGAGGCCATTTGGGGAGTAAACCAGCATGTGGAAGACCTTTCTCTCTGTCTCCCTCTCTCTGTAACTCTGCCTCTCAAATAATTAAATAAAATCTTTAAATACTTTTCTGTGAAAGAAATTCTAATATTTGAAAATGAAAGATGTAATTCCAAATCCTTGAAGATGGGAGGAGGTTAAGGAAAATGATAGAAGGAGCTTAAATGGAGTAGATTTCCAGTGAAGGCAAGACTCTGAATCTGTATTGTGTATAAAATTATTTATTCTAGGCCGGCGCCGTGGCTCACTAGGCTAATCCTCCGCCTGCAGCGTTGGCACCCCGGGTTCTAGTCCCAGTTAGGGCACCAGATTCTGTCCCGGTTGCTCCTCTTCCAGTCCAGCTCTCTGCTGTGGCCTGGGAAGGCAGTGGAGGATAGCCCAAGTGCTTGGGCCCCTGCACCCGCATGGGAGACCAGGAGGAAGCACTTGGCTCCTGGCTTCAGATTGTCACAGCGCATCAGCCGTAGCAGCTATTTGGGGGGGTGAACCAACAGAAGGAAGACCTTTCTCTCTGTCTCTCTCTCTCTCTCACTGTCTAACTCTGCCCGTCCAAAAAAAAAAAATTATTTATTCTATTCTTAGATCAGTACTTACTTAAGTTTTTCTTATTGTAGCATGGCGGACACCGACTTATTTATGGAATGTGAGGAGGAAGAGTTGGAGCCGTGGCAGAAAATCAGTGACGTCATCGAGGACTCTGTAGTTGAAGATTACAATTCAGTGGATAAAACTCCTGCAGGTAACAAAAGCCCTTTGATCATAGATTGCTGTTTAAATAAACTCACAGGCGTTTTGGTTAAGTGTGAGGTGGAGAAGGACTTTAAGAATCCCGGGATGCCTTATTGTGGCACTGGTCTTCCCGTCTTTTCCTTGCACTAGCTTGTGAGTGTATCAGTTTTCTCATCCGTAAAATTAGAAAAGCTGTATTTATTTCATTAAAAACATTGAGAGGTTGGATTAACTAATGTTCATCAAGCATTGAGCAATCCTCTTACCAGATGATGTGTGAATGCAAAGTGGTGATACGTGTCAGAGCTCTTTACAAAAACAGGTTCCTATAGTCTGCTTTTGTTTTTGTTTTACTTGAACTTGGTTTTATTTGTGAGCTGAGCAGAAATTCCTTTGTGTTTGTCTTCAAGAACAGTTCAGAAATTTAGGTGTGTTAGCTTCTCTTTCATAAAGTTGATATTATAGGATCATGTTCTAGGTTACCCTGAATTCAGAAAGTGGGTTGCAGTTCTTTTTCTCCCTTAAACTGTACCATAATCTTCCCTTCCTTGAGACCTGAAGATGGCATTGGTTTAGTCTGAAACAGGACAGAGTTTAGGGTCTTGTGGATGGCTTAATACGTGTAGTTACAAATAATAGTAGTGGTGACGATAAGCCTTTGAGTCCTAGCTTGTTTGTGCTGTGTAAGCAAAACAGTAAAATCCTGCTGCAGTGGCCCAGTGTTCTAACTTAATTAAGCAGGAAACGTAAGACAAGGAGATTGCATCTAAGTGGTAGACTAAGGGACAACTAGAAGGAGAAAACATATGAACAGTTGGGGTCTGTGAACGAGATAGGAATCTCTGGTTATAGGTTAAAGGGAAAACTAGAGCAGTATCCTTTAGTGTCATCTGTCCCTGTCTCCGAGTGACTATGCCTCCCCTTCCCCACAGTTTCTGTGAGCCAGCAGCCAGTCTCGGCTCCAGGGCCCATCGCTGCCCATGCTTCTGTTGCTGGGCACCTCTCTACATCCACCACCGTTAGTAGCAGCGGGGCACAGAACAGCGACAGTACAAAGAAGACTCTTGTCACACTAATTGCCAACAACAATGGTAAGTGGGATTACTGGGAAATTCCTCCTGGGCTAGAGGGGTGAGAGAATAAAAAAGGTCTCAGGGACAGCTATCCTTGTTCAGTGTGGTGCTGGTGTGGTTCCGCTAGTTGGAGAATGAACTTAATAATGGTTTTCTGGTATGGAGGTGATTCTGTAGGTGGTGCTGTTCCTTTTAAGTTGGTGCTGAATCGATGCTGGTGTTTCAAGGAAGAGGGCAGCAGGTTCTTGATACTGATCATCTCTGGGAGACAAAATATAAACTTAAAATTCATGCTGAAAAAAGAGATCTGGGGCTTTTGTTTGGTTGGTTGGTGGTGTTTTTGCTTTTGTTTTCTCAATTAGAAGGATCCCGTTAGTGTGGAAGGATTTTCCCAGGGCAGTTTTGTTCTGTGATTTCTCTGGGCACATTCATTTATTGAATTCCTGGATATTGGTTTATTGGTTCCTGGGTATGCAAGGTAGGATGAGGTTAGTGCTGACCTGGAGAGAGTGGCTAAAGAGTAGTGTTTGTAGTATATTTATTGGCTAGAGAGATGACAGAATATTGGTTTGTCTTTCATTTCTGGCAATTTTTACACTCTGAAGAAGAGTTATTGACAGGTTATTTCTCAATATTTGTAACTAAAATACGTACTTTCATAGAATCATTGCATTGCTACAAGGGTCTTGTTTTTTAATTATTTTATTAACTTGAAAAATAAAATAGTTCTATTACTGCAAGAATAGTATGTGTACTGTAGAAAAACCAGAAAGTAAAAGAAAAATCTTAACTGTAATCATACCACCTGGAGATAATATTTTATAACGTTCATTGTGTATGTGTACTTTTGTAAATGTTTATATAGTAAATGTAGTGATTTGCTATTTATAAAAAATGGGATCATATATGCTGTATTACTTTCTTTAGCTACTTTCCCCCTTCATATGAGGTAAATAAAACATTTTTGAGGACTCACTGTATTTCCCATTACTTAACATATTCACAGTAGGTTATAAAAGAATATATCGCTATTTTAAAGCATTACAATGAACATCCCTCTGAATCTTTTTTTTTTTAAGATTTATTTATTTATTTGAAAGGCAGACCCATAGAGAGGCAGAGGCAGAGAGAGAGAGAGGTCTTCCATCTTCTGGTTCACTCCTCAAATGGCTGGCACAGCTGGAGCTGTGCTGATCTGAAGCAGGAGCCAGGAGCTTCTCCCAGATCTCCCACACAAGTGCAGGGGCTCAAGGACTTGGGCCATCTTCTAGTGCTTTCCCAGGCCATAGCAGAGAGCTGGATTGGAAGTGGAGCAGCTGGGACTCGAACTGGCACCCATATGGGAATCTGGCACTGCAGGCGGCAGTTTTACCCGCTACGCCACAGCACCAGCTTGTAAATCTTTTGTTACATTTAATCCTGAGAATGCATTTATAAGAGTCATTGTTGGATCAGAAGTCATAATTTTTAAAAAGGATTTTGGTAGATATTTTTTCTAGATTAGCCATCCCAGAATGTATCGGCTTGTATTTCTACTAGAAGGGTATATGGAGTTCTTATTTTTGGATATAACCATTTACATATGGCATTCCCTTATTGTTTGACATTTAATAGGATCCTAATTTTTAGTGATTTAAAAACAACACTATGGTGAGCATCCTCAGGCTTAGAAGTTTATGTGACAAATAAAAACTGCATATATTTACGGTCTACAACATGCTTTGATATCTGTTTATACATTGTGAAATGATTGAATCAAGCTATTATCTATCACCTCGCATATTTGAAACACAGAGAGCAAGCTTCCATTCATTGGTTTATTCCCCAAATGCCAACGACAGCCAGGACTGGGCCAGGTCAAAGCCTGGCGTCCAGAACTCCACTCAGATCTCCCACATGTTTGGGACCCAACTACTTGAGCACCAGTATGTCTCAGGGTACACATTCATAGAAAGCTGCGTTGGAAGCAGAGGAGCTGAGACTCAAACCAGGCACTCCAGTATGGGATATGGGTGTCCCAAACAGCAATTAACCACTGCACCACATTCCCATCTATGAGTTCACCTCTTTTGGATTCCACATGTAAGTGAAATCATGCAGTATTTGTAATTTTATGCCTGATTTATTTCACTTAGAATGACAGGATTTTCTTACTTTAAACAAATGCTTTTTATTTGAAAGGCAGAGAAGCACAGAGAGACACACACACAGAGACAAACACAAAGAAATATTACATTTGTCAGTTCATTCCCCAAATGTCTGCAACAGCTGACAGGGTTGGGCCAGACTGAAGTCAGAAACCAGGAACACAATCCCACGTGGGTGGCAGTGACCCAAAAACTTGTGCCATCACAGCCTGCTTCCTAGGGTGTGTCTTAGCAGGAAGCTGGATTCAGAAGTGGAGCCAAGACTCAGTTGCAGGTACTCATACAGGATGTGGAAGTCTCAAGTGACAGCCTAACCCCGTACCAAATAACTGCCTGACCCTTCCAGCTTTTTTGAGATACACAGAATCATTATCAGTAGTCACCCTATTCAAGGTTTATAAGTTTTAAATGTCTGTTTGAGAAGTTGTCTAACTTACCTTACCATGAACTTTTCTTTTCTTTTTCTTTCTTTTTTTTTTTTTTTTTTTTTTTTTGACAGGCAGAGTTAGTGAGAGAGAGAGAGAGAGAGAAAGGTCTTCCTTTTTCCATTGGTTCACCCCCCAAATGGCCACTACGGCTGGCGCGCTGTGACAATCCGAAGCCAGGAGCCAGGTGCTTCCTCCTGGTCTCCCATGCAGGTCCAGGGGCCCAAGCACTTGGGCCATCCTCCACTGCCTTCCCGGGCCACAGCAGAGAGCTGGACTGGAAGAGGGACAACCGGGACTAGAACCGGTGTGCCGGCGCCACAGGCAGAGGATTAGCCTAGTGAGCCGTGGCACCGGCCCTACCATGAACTTTTCTAAAAAAATATTTATTTATTATTTTGAAAGAAATTTATTATTTTGAGACAGAGAACTTCCATCTACTGGTTTGCTCCCTAGATAGCCACAACGCCAGCACTGGGCAAGGCTGGAGCCAGGAGCTTGAGCTTCATCTGGGTCCCCTACATGTGTGGCAGGGGCCAAGCACTTGGCCCATATTCCACTGCTTTTCTCAGACTATTACCAGGGAGCTGGATCGATAGTGGAGCATCCGGAACACTAACAGGCGCCCATATGGGATGCTGACTTGCAGGCAGCAGTTTAACGCACTGTGCCACAATGCTGGCCCCCTTAACTGTGAACTTTGTGCCTGAATTCCTAAATACTTTCCACCAAAACAATCTTGTCTTTTAATTCAATTTTCCATGAACTTTTTAAAAGTTTTTTAAAAGCATTTATTTATTTGAAAGGCAGAGTTAACAGAGAGAGTGCTCTTCTATTTGTTGGTTACTTCCCAAATGGCCACAGTGGCCCTGGGGTGGGTCAGGCCGAAGCCAGGATCCAGGATCTTCTTCTGGTCTGCCATATGGGTGCAGGAACCCAAGCACTTGGACCATCTTCTGCTGCTTTCCCGCCTGCATTAGCAGGGAGCTAGATTGGAAGTAAGGCAGCTGGGACTTGAACCAGCATGCATATGGGTTGCTGGTGTTGCAGACAGTGGCTTAACATTGCTGTGCCACAACACTGTCCCCTCCATGAACTTTCTGAGGTAATCAGAAATGACACATACCAAATAGGCAGATTTGTCAAGAATAAAGATTGCAAGTTCAACATGAGATAGGTGGAGAGTAAAGAATCTGTCTCTCCCTCTCTTCCTCAGGTAAAATGTAAAACACTTTTTTAAAGCTAGAAGACAGGATTTTCAATGTTTTCACCACAAACAAATGATAAATAGTTGAAGAGATGGATATGCTTACCCTGATTGGAAGATTACACAATGTATACATATATTGAAATATCACTGTGGTAGCCCATAAATATGTACACTTTTTGTTTCAATTAAAAAACTTTTAAGTGGAAAAAAAAGGTTGTGAAACTTAAGCTGGATGAAATTGACATAAGGGTTTACAATATAAGGACCTATGCACATATGGAAACTTAATAGATGACAAAAGTGGCACACAGATCATTGGAGAAGAAGGAATGAGACTATAAATGCTGTTCAGGTTCATGGTGAAAAAATGGTTCCCTACTGTTACACATACACGAAGCAGAGCTTGAACACTTTTAGAAGAGGGGCCAGCTCTGTGGCATAGTGGATTAAGTCATGCCAGCATCCCATATGGGCTCCAGTTCACAGCTCAGCTATTCCACTTCTGATTCAGCTCCTTGGTGATGGCCTGGGAAAGCAGCAGAGGGATGGCTGAAGTGCTTGGGCCCCCGCACCCATGTTGGAGATGCAAAAGAAGCTCCTGATTCCTGGCTGTTGCAGCCATTTGGAGAGTGAACCAGCAGATGGAAGATTCTCTCCCCACTCCCCGTGCTCTAGCTTGCTCTAACTCTGCCTTTCAAATAAATAAATAAGTCTTCACAAAAAAAAACTTTGAGAAGAAAATATGAGGGGGCCGGCGCCACGGCACAGTAAGTTAATCCTCTGCCTGCAGTTCTGGCATCCCATGTGGACACTGGTTCGAGTCCTGGTTGCTCCTCTTCCAATCCAGCTCTCTGCTGTGGCCTGGGAGAGCAGTGGGAGACCGGGAGGAAGCGCCTGTCTCCTGGCTTTGGATAGGCGCAGTTCCGGCCATTGCAGCCATTTGGAGAGTCTCTCCCTCTCACTGTCTGTAACTCTACCTCTCAAATAAAATAAATAAAATCTTAAAAAAAAAAAAAGAAAATATGAGAATGTTTTTGTGGTCTCATAAGAGGGAAATATCTTAAACCAAATATAAAAATGGGCTAACCATAAAGAATAAGATTAATAAATAGAACTACATTATAGGCTGGCATTGTCGCTCAGAGGGTTAAGCCACCTCTTGTGATACCAGCATCTTATATAAGAGTGCTGGTTTGAGTTCTGGCTTCTCTGCTTCCTATCGAGCTTCTTGCTAAT